TTTTCTAAACTCATTTTAAACTAGGTATTCTTAAAAAATATATATTCATATTTTTCATAATTTTTCATTACATTTTATATACTAGTTCTTAAAAAAAATTTATTTTTTTACAAAATCACTCTCAAAAAAATTAAATACATTTTCCAACAAATCATTAGTTCGAAGCATATTTTCCCTCGAAATCTATATTTAATGGAGCTGAATTGAACAAGTTAGGCAAATTGAAAGACTTGAATTCTCTCTCATTTTATTTTCTATCTTTGTATAGATACAAGAAATAGTATCCAGAATTTCAAATTTGATTTTCTATGTTGAATCATTCTGTTTACTAGTAGAGTTTACAAGAAGTTTCTCTTTCTCCATATTGCTCTTTCTCTTCTCATGAAAATAATTAATCTTATTCAAAATAATAATAATAATAATCTCACTAATAAATAAAAATGTTTATCTCACATGGTTTTAATATCAAAGTAGTGGACCAACTTGCTGAACTCAACTAATTGAACGAGTTAGGCACACAAGAAATAATAACTACAATTCTAAAATTATGTTAAATAATCCCATTTACTATAACAAGTTTTTTCGTTAGATATTTTAAAAATAAAGAAGCGAAAACTTTTCCACATATTAATGCGTCGCCAATCATTGGCTAAATAAAAAACGGTATACAAATAATCCATGGCAAATCATGCGAAGCAAGTAGAGCAGTGCGAGGACTACCCAAATCCCATTTCTAGGCACAAAACAACATGAACCATAGACCACGTCTCCATTAAATCTACAATGTCAGACAAGAAGCATTGGTAGTAATGTAAAATCCGAATTTAGCCATTGTTTGTCGGAGATTAAAATTAGATTTTTAAAAAATTTGGATAGAAGTCGATGAAATGTGTGGTTGAAAAGTTGTGGAACTCATAAAATATGTGGATGAAATAAATTGTTGGATCTAACTTAAATTAAAATTTACATTTTAATCAGTACCAAACATGGACTTAAAATTTGAACTACTTGAAGTTCATCGGATTCCGCTTGTGAGTGTTGATTTCATGTCTTCTTCGCAAGCATTTGGCCACCCTAAAGAGCTAGAGTTTATGATCTTCTGAAGTGAAATTCCTAGCCATTTTCGCCAGGCTCGTACACAAGGACGGAGCTAGCATCCGACGAGTCAGCGCAGCTCATCCATTGCTCAAATTTCAATTTGGTTTTGAGGTTTCACGAAGAGGGTGCAATTTTCCAATTTTCAATCCCTCACCTTGTCGT